ACACACCTGGGTGAGGGGCTTCCTTCCTGGTGGGCTAGAGTCTGCCCGGCAACTAGTGATGTATTTCAAATTGGTTGGCTGACAGCCAACAGGCGCTGGCCTCTATTGGACCAGGTAAATGAGGTCACAAGGGCTATAAAAGTTAAGGACTGCCCAGGAGGAGTGGGGCAGCAGCCATGAGGGTTACTCAGGAACAAAGAAGAGCTGAACCATCTGAAACTTGCTCTCTCTCTCAAAACTCACGATCAAGGAACCGCCTGCCTCCAGAGGGAATCTCCACCTGCCTCGGGATGATACTTGTGAGTAAGCTACATGAGATCCAACTAGATATACAGCTTGCAGTAACTCAGATGCGAGATCAAAGGCTACCCAGCCACAGGAGTTTGCTCTATGGGATTTCTCTGATATTGCTCTACCCTGGACCCTATTCTAACCCTACCCCCTGTAACCAATAAAGTTCTCCTTTGTGACTGGTGTAGGAGACTTATTGAGGGGTGGGTTTAATTATGCCTAGGAGGTCCCTTGGGTCTGCAGACTAAGGGAGACTATCCTTTTTGGCCCCCGACTTGGGGAAGTGCCCCAAGTTCTTGTATTGGGTCGAGTACCCGTAGGACTATTAGGCCTGTTTCCCCGAGGACACAGGACCCAGACAGTCCCTTCTCGGGGTGGTGACAGTACACATTACCCCTGGACTCTGCAGTGGGGCTCGAAAGGGGGTCTGCCAGGGCTTAGGCGCCCCTGGAGGGACACGTGAAGTCCGGAAGGTGGACAGGCGTAGTGAGGTGGGAGGCTCAATGCAGGAGCTCCCCCTACTGGCCCGCCACACAGCCCACGCTTCAGAGAGCAAGTCAGCAAGTTATTGGGAAGGAATGGCCTCCACCTCACTCACACAGGGAAGAAGCTCTTCTCAGCCAGAATGGGCTTTAAACTAAGTTTGCTGGGGGAAGGGCAGATAACCACTGGTGCAAGTCTACCAAGCATCAGCCACCAAACCATTAGGTCAAGCTGTACAAGGAAACAAACTCTTACCCCACTCCAGGGATGGGGCTCTTGAAGGAGTCCTAGGGCCTCCAATGGCAAGCTCACTTGTCTTTACACAAATGCCAGGAGCTTGGGCAACAAACAGGAGAAGCCAGCCCTACTCCTAAACAGTAATGATTATGATCTCATAGGGATACTGGAGACCTGGTGGGACTCCACCTATGACTGGACCACAGGTATACCTTGTACAGGAGAGATGGGGTTGCAAGAAAGGGGGGAAAGGTGTAGCTCTCTACATGAAAGAGCAATACACTTCCCTACAGGCGGAGACTGACAACCAAGGAGGGCAACTTGAGACCCTCCGGGTACGAATAAGGGGGGAAATGTGGTGAAGGGGATATAATGGTAGGAGTCTACTACAGACCTCCTAATCAAGAGCAAGTACTTGACCATGAGTTCACCAGGGAACTGGCTGAGGCTGCATGCTCTCAGTACATGGTGGTCATGAGCGATTTTAACTACCTGGACATCTCATGGGAAGAGCACTCAGCCAAATCCGACTGGTCGCAATGCTTCCTCACAAGCATTGACGAGCTTTATCTGTCTCAAGAAGTCTACAGACTGACAAGGGGCAAGGCGCTACTGGACCTGGTACTGGCCAAAAAGGATGATCTAGTCAGTGACCTGAGAATCTAAGGGAAGCTGGGAGACAGTGACCACGAGCTGAGCACTTTCTCTATTCACCGCAAAGCTAGCAAGTTAGTCAGCAACACGGAAGTCCTCGACTTTAGGAAGGCCAACTTCCACAAGCTTAGGAGGCTAGTTGTTCAGACCCTGAGAAACCACAATCTGGCAAGCAGGAATGTCCATGGTTCCTCAGGGATGCAATCCTTGAAGCACGAGGGAAGTCCATTCCAACCCACAGAAAAAGTAGCAAAAGGGCTGGATTCCGCCCCTCCCTTTAGCTTAATAGGAAACTGAAGGACCTCCTGCAAAAAAAAGAAGCTTATAAAGGATGGAAGATGGGAAACATCACTAAGGAGGAGTACTCAACACTAGCCTGCACCTGTAGGGAGCAAACAAGGGAAGCCAAGGCTGAAACAGAGCTCGAACTGGCCACTCAAATTAAGGACAATAAAAGTCCTTCTTCAAATATGTGGTAGTCAGAAAAAGAACGTGGATAACATTGGATCCTTACTAAACCAAGTGGGGCAGCTGATAACCGACACTCAGGAAAAAGCCAATCTCCGTAATGACTACTTCGCGTCAGTCTTCCATCAGCCCAGTGGGATCACCCTGCCTGACAAGAGGCAGGATCACCAGGGGAAGGGAGAACCTGCACCCATCATTACCACTGATCTTGTGAGGCAACATCTTAAGAGGCTGGATATCCACAAATCAGCTGGCCCAAATGGACTGCACCCAAGAGAGCTAAAGGAACTAGTTGACACTATATAGCACAGCCTATGGCGAGGGTATTCAAGAACTCACAGCGCTCAGGTGAGGTGCCTGACAATTGGAAGAGGGCCAATGTGGTGCCTATCTTCAAGAAATGGAGAAGGGAAGATCCAAGGAACTATAGGCCAATTAGCTTGACCTCAGTCCCTGGAAAGATCCTGGAAACAATCATCAAGGAAACCATTACCAACATCCTAACAGAAGGTAATATTCTGAGAGAAAGCCAACATGGCTGCATGGTGGGTAGATCTTGTCCGACCAACCTGATTTCCTTCTATGATATGACCAGATGACGCATCGCCTAGACAAGGAGAAGAGATGGATATCATATTCTTGGACCTGGTATCTCATGATGTCCTCATGGAAAAATTGAGGAACTGCGGCCTAGACAACTTCACAGTGTGATGGCTGGGGAACTGGCTCTGTGGACAGACCCAGAGAGTGATAGTTGATGGAACCAAATCAACTTGGTGCACCGTAACTAGTGGTGTCCCCCAGGGCTCTGTTCTTGGACCTGTACTCTCCAATGTGTTATAAATGATCTGGACTCAGGTGTTATAAGCAGACTGGCTAAGTTTGCTGACGACACCAAACTATGGGGAAATGTGACCATCCTAGAGGATAGGCTGGAAATCCAGGCCGACCTCGACAGACTTACAAGGTGGGCAAATCTAAACCTGAT